GAGTGCAGTACTTGGCAAACTTATTTTGGACGCGTTGGAAGAGAGAATATCTCCCAACTCTCCAACCTCGTTCGAAGTGGAACAGTCCCAAACGGAATCTAGCTGTCGGAGACGTTGTCCTGTTGAAAGACGACAACTGCCCGAGGAGTGTTTGGCCGATGGGACGAGTCATAAGCGCGGAATCAGACAAGAAGGGGTTGGTACGCACGGTTCATTTGAAGACCCAAACCTCCCAACTACGCAGACCAGTTGACAAGGTTGTCCTCTTGCTAGCTAAGGAAGAACAATCGTGCCTCGATAATGAACAATGAAACAGGAAGCTCGTAAGGGCTGAACCTTCATGGAATATTCATAGTCCCTATTTCTTTAAGCGGATTGTGTGACGGACTAGACCCGTTAGCTTTAGCAAAGGACATGACAAGTTATTTTTCATAATTACTACTTTATTTTGTAGCTAAGAACTTTCCATGTTAAGCATCGCTTAAGGGGTCGGGAATGTTACTGCCGTTATGCGTGATGTCACGCACTCATTAGCTAGATCCCGAGAGGCGCTGCGAGTTAAAAAATACATGTGCTCGATCGAAGTGGAGAATCGTTTCAACGCCCGTTTAACGTCATCGTTTATATTATAAGGACACAAACGTAAGTTTTTTTTGGTTTCGTTTCTTGTTTGTCTAGCCTTTTTCCGTATTTATAGTTGTAAATTTCCTTTGTTTCCTTTTAGTTTTCGAAACCGTACAACGTTCGTTCAAGATTGTAAAGTCCATTTCATAATTACAAGTACGCGTGTTCAAGTTTGTGTTGTCGTACCGTTTTATGCGTGCACAAGGAGTCTGTCTTTTACAGGAAGATAAGAGTGTAACAAGAAGCTGCACTCAAAACATTTCACAATCTCCCAGTAAAGACAGTTGAGGTATTTCCTATAGACCTAGAAAACACAGATGAAGCAGTCACAATGTCACCATTGAGTTTGCCTGTGCAAATGAGGCAATTGATGCTTCATCCTATGCAGTTGGTGAGAAACGTTCCATGCAACATGGAAAATACTATGTGTGCAGCATCACTTATATTGATTTTAAAGCTTAAGACATTTGTGCTCATACTTTAGTTTTGGTGGAAATGGATTGTTCATCAACTGAGTTCATTCATTGTTATAAGGCAACAAACTAAAGGCCTCCCAACATGGATGCCTTGAATCACATGGACCTCCCTCCTGGGCATGGGTCAAAAAAGACCAAGCCAACACAAAGAAGGAAAGGTGCTACAAACAAAAAAAAAGAAAATTGTGGAGAGTTATATTAACACCTCTCCAACTGACCATTCAGCATTGAATATGGTGTTTACTCTCGTAAGATCCCCAGGAAACAGAGGCACAGAGAAGGAAGCAAAGAAGACAACAACAAAAAAAAGACACAGAAGGACCTCAGGCATGTACATATTGTAACAATCATTCATAGTTAATAAAGTGTGATTCTTTTATCTCTGGTTTTAGATCAGTGTAAGGTTACAAGTTTTTTGTGTGATTATGCTGCAAACTGTTTGATTTCTTAGCTAGATAGACTCTAATCACAGTAAAGTCCTACTATATGTTAGCTCTATCTAAGTTGTTGTATTTCACTGACTGGTGAGCTAATTTGGTTCAAAGAAATAACAAACTCTATCAAATAAAGCTGGTAGTGATATTGTGCACCAAGTTGAAAGAAAACAGAACTCCTAATCAGAAATGACCTGCAGGACATGAGGTTTATAAAGATATAGCATCTGGTGAGACTGTTGGCTCATTTCAAATCATACTTCCCATGCAGCCACCAACTAATCTTGGCTGTTAACTAAAATGCCATCTTCATTCATTTCTTTTACACAATCTGCAGAATAAAAAACCTAAGACATCAACATGCACAGTTCAAGAAGGTAGTTTCCTGTTGAGCCTTCTTAAAAGGTGTTACAGGTGTAAGGGTGTCCTTAAACTGAGGCATGGTGAAGACTTTTTTATTCACGACCCACCAAAAGACCTCCTCATGATATCAAGCACAAGATGGGCCTACTGGCAGAATGGAGAGCAAAAGACTGGCACTGGTCATCGTGGGGGTGGTATTGGCATCTTGTATAAAACATGTCTCGACATACCTGTTGCTGATAATTGACTCCTGTAACACTAGGTATGCAAATTACAACTAAGTATGCCCAAAGTTTAAACATAAATTAGATGGCAGTAAAACCACTTATTGATTTCTATCTTTGTATTAGTATTAACATATGTATTGTATGAGGACCTGACCACTGTGAATCGACACCCAACAAAACCCTTGGTGTCACATGCAGCCACCCTGCAGGCTCACTCTACACTCTACATGGAACCCTCATAGTTATTCCAAAGATCTACTGGCAGAATGGAGAATAAAGTCAAGTCATGTGACACATATTTGATTACTACTGCTGAGTGCAAGAGAGAACCCTAATGAAAAGATGGTACCCAGTGGTCTTTGGTCATCGTGGGGGTGGTATTGGCATCTTGTATAAAACATGTCTCGACATACCTGTTGCTGATAATTGCCAACTGACCACTGTGAAATATAATACTTTTTTAATAATACTTTTGAACATGTTGAATATCTCCTAAATATGAACTCTAAATGGATTAGGATTATTACCCTCTACCATCCTCCTCCATCTACTACCAATGGCCTTACAACAGCACAGTTCTTTTTTGAATTTGCAATGTTCTTGGAACACTTAATATCACTCTCTGGGCAAATCTCAATCGTAGGAGATGTCAATCTTCATTTGGATAATACCCCAAATAATCAAACAAGAGAAATTCTGGAACTACTGAATACCATGAATCTGAGTTAACTGGTGAATCAACTAACTCATAGACTTGGTCATATTTTGGATTGCATAATAACTGAACAGAATGTGAATCTAGTAGATGATATCTGTGTGCACACTCCTTGGATATCTGACCATAGCCCTGTAGCTTTTAAACTCTCAGTACAAAAACCTGCATTATCCTATAAGACTGTAGTTACTTGAGACCGGAAGTCTTTAAACCTGGATCAACTCAATTATGATATTACAAGAGCTGACTGAAAGTGGTTTTCGGCAATCACAAACCACTAGAATCAATTTTTAAGAGGCCTTTGGATTGTGCCCCCTAGTGTTTGCAAGCCATGATCACTTGTCTACAGAAGTATGACCTGGAGATGATGTATCAGAGAGGAGACAAGACATTCTAACCAGACACCCTTTCAAGATTGTTTCTCCCAGCCAGTCAGCAAGACGAGTCAGAGTTTGAAACAATTTAACATGATCAAGTATCTTCTTGTATCGGAAGAAAGGCTCCAGCAGATTCAGAAAGACATTGAAGCAGATGAGTCTCTTCAAGTGTTTAAGGTTGTGATCTAGAAGGGCTGGCCAAAGCATAAGAGTATCTTCCCCTACTTCAACATGTGTGACGAGATGTCCATCCAGGACAGCCTCATTTTTAAGGGAGAGTGAGTTATGGTTCCCCATGCTTCTAGGAGCAAGCTGTTGAAACGAATTCCCAGCTCACACCTTGGGGTCAACAGCTGTCTAAACAGAGAGCATAAGTGTGTATTGGCCCAGGATGGCCACTGACATTAAGAGCCATGTGTGGACATGTGAGGTATGTCATGAACATGAACAAGGGCAAGCTAAGGAAACAATGATGTCTTTACAGTCACTTTCATATTCAGATCTTTATCTGTAGTTCGAATATATGACTTTCATATATTCACAGTCATTTATTCATCACTTCACGGGTTTATTTGGAACCAACATAATGACCAGCTTCCAGTTGGCTTGTTAGCTCAGTTGGTGGGACACCAGTATCGCAGAGGTCATAGGTTCAAATCCTGTACAGGCCTGAATTTTTTTTCAGTCCTTATTTTCACTACTGCTCAAGTACTGTTCATTACTGCGAAGATCACTTTCATATTCACATCAATTATTTTTGTTGACTTGATATCCTTTAGCATGCAATTAATAAATTTTCACACTTCTTCTTTTCAGTGTTTCATTGAGAATGATACCACTTGATACTACTGTCACTGATGCCTCAATTATTCTGCCGTGCCATTAATTATGCTGTGCCACAAAATGAGCATGTTGGTATCATTTTCCATTTGAATTGCTCTGAAGCCTGCTTTTTTCACAATTAAATTCTTTTATTTTCAAGTTCATTACCCATGTAAGAATTATTTTTTTGAACTAAATAAAGAAACAAGCTGAGAAATTGACAAGGTAAGGAAGTAAGAGTACAAACAAGATAAAAGCTTTGTTATTGAGTACTCTCCACTAATACATCAACCGATATATTGGTTGATATATTGGTTGACCGACAACTGACTGTCGACTGATATATCAGTCAACAGTCGATTAACTCTTGGCCAACTGTTGGTCGATATATCAATCGATATGTATGTTGGCCAATATAGCTTTTAGTTCACCGATACTTTGCTGATACGTCTAACTAGTTAAAATGGTCCAACCATTTAGAATGATCTAACAAGACAAAATGGTCCACCTAATTCTGTAGGACTGTGAAATGCAGGCTACCAAACTGGCAACTTTCAGCGGAAATTTATTTACCAAAAGTTATCTAACTCAACATGGCAACCAAAACAGTCATAGCTGGAGATTGGGTATGCATGGTCAAAACTTGTGAAAACAAACCAATTTTGACTTAAGATCCACAAGACACAATAAAACCCATACTCCCATGCTACAAAAATGTCTTTTTCCAAAATTGTATTTCATGATTTAGCTGCAATATCAAGTGAGGTCACATGCCCTAACAAACACAGAATAAAAGGTGCACGGATTGCTTTATGGCCAGAAGAGAGAGCCAATTCATGGTCAAATCATGCTAAAAACAGATGTAACAGATATAAGAGTCTGTTGTGAGCACTGTGGAATGAAACCTGACTTTTCAATACACAATTTAAACATGCAAATTAACTGACTGAGAATGATGTTACCTATGTTCTGCCTCCAAACAGGAATATTCTTCTCAAGCCAGGATAGCAGACTTTCCACAGAATCAATGTGACATGTTTCTGATGCTCTGTACTGTCTCCTCCAGGTTGATATCTGTATTATTATGCAATAGTTAAAAATTATTGGAATATCATAAGATCTACTGTAAGGGTCGTACATTGAAAAAATTTATGAAAATAACCTTTTTTTACAATGTCTAATATACACGTACTATAGAGATACCTATATTGTGTCGACATTCATAGGGCCCTCTAGCACCTGCTGACAACAGGGTGTCACTTTGATTCAAAAGTTTTTCTAAGCAGACCTTTCAATACGTTTTAAATGACTGTACAACCCTCTTTAGCCCGAATCAATGTGTGTTACTGGTTTGCTTGAATTCATAGCGAAATAACTAGGTCATGGTGACTGCAATATTGGGTGAGTATAAGGTGACTGCAATATTGGGTGAGTATAAGGTTGTGAAATATTTACTGTATTTTAAATGACAAGAATACTCATATGAAGTGCAAGGAATGTTGAGGTACATCCTGTTAATTATCTTTTTCTTGAGTTATTCACACCTTTAAATTTTGTAACCTACCAAAGAGGGGCTTTAGTTAATTCAATTTCCCTTTCTGGTTAAACTTTGTTGTGAGGTGGAAGAAATCCTTCCCCTTTATGCCATGTGAAGTCGTCTCTTAAAATTATAACTATGTTGACTTTCATTTAGGTATTGTTTCTCACATGTAGCCCTGTATTCAAAATTGATTGTTTATATCTATAAAAATATTACATATCCTTAGTAAAATGCTTATGCTTATCTATGAAGTGCAACTTTCCTGCCCCTTCACCAAACCAACCATTTTATTTTTCAATCAAGGTTATAGGATGATCTGGTTATTACTGACACCTAGTTCAAAAACCATAAACTGACTGTCAATGTAAGCATATACCAGTGCACTGTAAATATTTTATGATTGAGGGCAATTTTTCCAACTCAATGTATGACAACTTGGTTCTTCCTGTGCTTCTCTAATTGTAGATTGGAATTGAGTAGGTGCAAACTTGCTTGGAACATACTAATCTGAGTTATTTAACAGGCAAAAACTCTCATCCCTTAGGTATTAATCAGCGATATGTTCTTTCAAGTCTGACTTTTGACCTCTCTCAATTCCTGAAATTATATCTGGTTTTGTAATGGATGGAAAAAATATAATCAACTGCATATCATTTAATGTAAATTGTGGACTTGCAAAGTTGCTGCTGACAAGAGGAAAAGCACTGGCCCCTAAACTGACCCCTGAAGTAGACCCTGCTTAACAGACAGCATTCAGAAATTATGTTTTCAGGCCTAATTTGATAAATTATCTCCCCTCTCTGAAACAAGATTTACATCAGCCAACATAAGAAAGACTAAGCCACAAATAAATTTTCTCCAAAGCCTGGTTACTCAGTTAAATTAAAACCTTTGTGAAGGTCTACGAAGTTGAACTGCTTGCATTGTTTTTCTCCTTCTTATTATAAAACAAAGACAAAAGGACTTAAAGAAAAACTCAGAGTTGTTTGGCTTTGATGATAGAATTTCTTGAAGAAGAGAGTTAAATTCTAAAACAAGAGGAGTGCCAATAACCCATTTTGGCAATGTACTAGAGCAGTTGGCTAGATAACTCGGTTGGTAGAGCACTGTGTTGGTGTCCCAAAGGTGATGGGTTCAAATCTGTTAAAGGCCTTCATTTTTTATCATTACTGACTTTACTGACTTCTACCTGATTTTACTGATTTTTTTCAATGGCAAAGGGTTGCTTCAATCAATCATTTATTAATTTGTTTATTATATATTAATATTACCTTTACAAAGATTTTTTTCAATTTTGATAGAATTTTCATAACTCAACTTTATTCACATGAAGCAGGTAAGTTAGTGTTAACAACTGAGTTAAAAATGTAAATTGGCAACCGTAGAGAGTTAAAAAGCTGACGTTTCAAGTGTTAGCCCTTCTTCAGAGCCCTATCACTCTGATGAAGGGCTAACACTGGAAATGTCAGCTTTTTTACTCTTTACCTAATTAATGATTGTTTGTATACACAGAATTTTTCTTCTTGTGTCCAACTCAGTATCTCTCTTGTTCCTTGCACTCACAAGGGAGGTATAGAGTTGAACAGACAAATTCCTTACTTACAAGCGACACTGTGTTACTCTCTAGGCATCATTTTGTGCCCCACCCTAAGAGCTATGTTCATGACCACATGTGCCATCAATCCTCCTCAGTACTTGTTGCTGGAGATTTTTCTTTCCAATGCAATTGCTTTTTATGTTATTAGAGGAAAGTCCAAAATCTTAGCAGCATTTAATTACAAGGTTTGTTAATGTAGAGTTATTTAACTCCACAACAACATCATTTTTGTTGCCAATTTTTAAAGATATCAACAAGGAACCTATTTATTCATTGCTGTTGATACCATTCCCTTTGTAAACTACTTCTTTTTCTTATGAGCCAAAGGTTTGTTTATTCTATTGTCTCAGTATCTCCCAATCTCTATTGAATTAAGTTTGTTTTACTACATTTTCATTTACAAATGGGGCTTTTTGTCTTAATTCTATTAAGACTTGTGGTTTGCCTTTTTGCCTGTACCAGTATACCCTTCCCTGTCCTCTGACAGGGCAGACTAAGGTGCCTATTTTAACAGCTTATACCATGTTTTCATAAAAAGTCAACTCTCGTTGTCATCTAGACAGGCAGATAAGGCCTCTTGACAAGTCTACATTAATAAAGAATATGTCAGCCAAAATAGCAGTGTTGTTTAACTGATGCTTTCACTGAGCTATAACACCATAAAATGCAGCAGCTATTAGAATGATTTTAATTGGTTCATTACTGATTAAGTTAATTTAGACACATTATCAAGTGGTACCATTGACCTCAACCATTGGCCTCACAGGACCTACAACATTATCCTAGGGTGGACTCAGATTCAACCTCATTAAAGCCCTTACTAATTAACGCTTAAGTTCACATTAGTCTCCAATAACATAAATTTATTAGTTTATGATGTACTACTTGTCTTACATTGGTGCTACCAGTCACTTGAGAGAGGGTGAAGAGTTCTCGAAAGTATTCCCTGTTATCATCCAGGTAAAAAATTGAATGCAGCTAGATTGTCTGAGTTGAGGGCTTGCTGTTGGACTACAGAAAACTCTGATTTTTACCATAATCATTCAAAATATGAAAGAAAAACAAGCAAGAAGTTTACCAAGAAGTTTGTCTCTGAAGGAAGGGCCAATATGTTATAATACAGAGCCACTAAAGAAGTGAATGAATTCCAAATTACCTGTCTCCCTAAGAAGTTGGACTGATGGCCAAAATCAGAGAGTTCCAAACCCTTCCAATTGATGTTGTGTAGCCTTGCCAAAGTACTGATCATGCCATTGTAGATAGCTTTTCGATCATCTTCTGAATGATTTGGCAATGTGGGTTTACGAAATATGATACCCTGAAAAAAAGAGTTTATCAATCAGAAATCATTTTCAAAAATTCAAAGTGCCTTAAAATGTTCCGGCACATGGCCTTTGTCAGATGGCAGACAATGAATAATGTAAGAATGAACACAAGTAATGAGGCTAGGAAGCATAGCATGGGAAAAATCAATGCCTTTGTGAACAAGAAAAATGATATTTTTAAAAGTACTTTACATGAAAAAATCTCTTGTTGGTGTTTTCTTAGACTTAACTTTCAGCAACTTTTAATAGTACTGAAAATAGCATTTGATATTGGGGCTGTGCAGTTGTTCTAACCAATATCTGGCAAAGCACCTGACTTTAGTCCCCTTTTTACTAACCCAGTCATTCTTAGTTTTTCAAGGTTTGTCGGTTACCATAATCCAGACTCTACTTTGGGTAATTTCTCAATGATTGAAAGGCCCTTTACAAAAGCATTTTCATTACCTACTTTGCCTCTATGAGACAAAGCTAAGACTTCATTGCATATTATTTCACTTCCATGCAAAAGACACTCAGTTACATCTATCATTTAACTCTCTTCTTGATGTCTGACTTTCAAGAGATAAAATTGAAGCCTTGTATTCATGATATTGATTGATGGATGCTACGTAATAGATCAAAGGATGAGCAAATGTAAAAATGCAATTGCAAAGAAGACAAAAAGAATTATCACATCTATTCATTTCTCACTAGGAGTTTTCTGGTTATATTATTGCACCAACAGCTACTACTACATGTATGTTTTTCTAATGCTACTGCTATTAAGGCCAAGGAACTTCAATCTTCATTATCTTTATAACCCTTCATGTCAAATGCTACTGATTGATCTAAACCTTTGAACTTTGATCTGTCATTAAATGAGTTTAGAGAGCCTGTTTGCTTTGATCCAATTTGACAGTTTATTGAATTCACTATTTAATGTACTGATTAGTCAATCTGAATCCATTCTCATTACATTCCCAGTAATAAACAATTAATTCCATTTAATGGAAAATTAAAGCACAACAAATTATAGTCTATACATCACTTACCTGTACATGTTCCATGATGTAGAACTCAGTTCCAATGACTGAAATATCTCCACAATAGAGGTAAGGATTTGGCACTGGGAAGGAGGCAGATTTTAATGCTGATAGTACTCTAAATTCTCTGTCAACCTGTAAGGATAAAAAGAAATCTTGAAGAAAAAAACTGACTATATAGTACTTTACTGCAACTTCACATTCAAATTTTATAATTTCAACTATGCTCTAAAGAAATTTAAGAAAACTCCTGTAACTCTTACAGATGTATTTGAAAGGAACTGTGGCATTGGTGACTTCAGACACATTTTCTGCCCTCAGGTAACTCAAGAACCACTAAGAGCCACTATGAAGCCTGACTACCAAAACAACTGCCTATTGATGTATTGTCATTGGACATACTTAACTCTGTAAAGATTGCAATGAGGTTTGCTTGTGCCAATGAACACTACAAAGTTCATTCTAAAAACTTTGAGTAGGGGTATGCACATAGCTGTGTAAGATATAAGCCCCCATGTTTTAAAATGCCTTGCCACCTCTGACAGTAGCCTGTGCTGCACTATCAATCAGCAAAAATAAACAAAAAAATTAGCACCCAAAAAGGACAGGGGTATGGCAAAGAAAAAATAGGAAATAGATTGTAAAAGGATTGTTTGAAATATCCCATTCTGACAACTCAGACCCACCCACTCAAAGAAAATGTTTCAGATTAGGTAAGGTAAAGTTTCAGATTAGATCATGCCTATACTAAAGTTGGGTGTAACCCAGAGAGTTTTGTTTGGGTGGTAGATCAGGAGAAGACAGGTTTCATTTTTCAAAACAACCAGTTTACTTCATATAACTAAAAGCATGTACACTGTTACACATAAGATCCAGTATATTAACCCTTGTAAGTGTGCACCCACATCAATCTGGTCATGCCTCAAAATATAGACCCTCAGTTTCTATTAAAATATCTTTCCCTCCATGAAAAAATACCGGTAGTCAATGTAAAAAGGTGAAAAGGATCATATGGTAAGTAAAAATAGAACTTGAATAGAATAGGAATAAACCACAACTTTTTTCAGAAGGTGGCAACCACTGTATTTACTTGTGTATAAGTCGACCTTTTATGACCAAAAAGTCAGCCCAAAAAAATCACCCTTGACTAATAGACAAGTCATACACAAAGAACTGACCTTAGCAATCCAAGAAATTAGCATAAAAATTGTCTGAAGTCCGTTAGGAAAACCAGGTAAATAAAACCAGTTCTAATTGTGTTTGAGTTTCGTCACTTTTCAGCGCATTCTTGGTAAAAAAATGTTTGAAATGATAAATTTTAAGTGGCTGAACACAAAGTTACTGGAGCTGGTTTCTATTGTGTCTTTGGCCTGAAGGGCAGACATTTTTGCTTGCAGCTTTCAAATTGCTAATTCATGTCAAAACGGGGGGTTGAGAGCCTAGTTCAGTTGAAAAAGGGCTAAGAAATACATCAGCTGACATCGTTTGAATGGATTAAGGTTTATTACATGATAAGCTGTATGATTGGTTCTCACTTGGAATCTTTTGGAAAAACAGATGCATAGATGACGTCACCATTAACAGCATTTTACTTATTTATCATATAAAACAATTAGCTTCCATGTTGGCCTGGTGTCTTTACACAAATGGATTCTATTACATATCTCTCTACATGTCTCTCTACATATCTTTCAGTTACAGTGGGCTCTGATTTGCATATTTAATGCTGTAGGCCCGATCAAGATGTTGGACTACTTCTCTTTCATTCTCTCCTCACTTTTAACAAAAGAGTTGTTTACTTAGTTGTCTGATCCTTGCCCAAAGCTGTGGGAAGCGTTGTATTTGAGGTCACACTTTGAAGTGCTGGATTCTTTGTCTAGCTTTATGTCCAGGAAAATATGAATGTTTAGTTCTGGCACTATTGGTGACTTGTAGGTTTCTTTATTTGCCTCTTCTTTGCACCTTCTTTCAGGTGCTTGCTGTTTATGGTGCCAAACTTTCATTTTATCGAATGATTTCAGTAGCTTACTGACCTGGCAAATGCTGCTGTCTCGCGCAGTCTTGCCTGTTATGCGCAATTCTTTGAAACTCTTCAGTGTTGCTTCAGTCTACTTAATCTCCTTTCAAACTCAACATTAAGATTAAGGTTGGTTAAATGCAAGAAGATTTCATTTTCAAAGTGAATTACATGGTTAGATATGGTTAGATACTTCTCCAGTAAATGGAAGTGCTTGTGTATGCTTAAATCGTGGTGATGCAAACAAGTACTAATAAAATTCACAGCACACGGTTATATTTTGCTCTGCAGTCTTTTGAATTCTCCATGTTTTCAATACAATCTCAGAAATAATAGATTATCTTTCTGGGAAATTCCTATCTGTCTGAAGTTTACTTTTTTGACTAGAAATGATGAAAAATCCAATTTTTGACCTTGAAAACTGGGGTCAACTTATACACGAGTTCGACTTATACAAGAGTAAATACGGTATACGCAATTCAAGAGTGTACAGTAAAGCCTCTATAAACAACTTACAAAATAATTGCTTATTAGTGCACAACTGTGGGTTGAAAGTAGCCTAATATTTTAACTTGGATAATAATAATAATAATAATAATAATAATATGTAATATTTATATTGTGTATTTTCTTTTAAAAAATAATCAAATGCACAAGAAATTATCAGTAGAGGGATGATTCACACACCAAATCTCCTCTAAAACCCTTTAGCTTTTGCAATTAAATATAATTATCATAATTGAGCATTGGGTGCAAACAAAATATTAGTCAACTCAACTTATTAGTAGAATTATACACAACAAATTTAATTATCATGTCCAAAGACCAAACTGCAAAATTAATAACAGGTATAACTTTTTGAAAGCTGCAAACTGTCAGAACATATAAGAGCCAGCATACATGCTCACCTGATGTGCTCCTTTGAGAAGCTTACCAGGAGGTTTTTTCCTGAGAACAAATTCTTTTCCATCTTTTGACAAGTAAAATGTCGGATTGGACTGCCCAGAGCTAAGGAACAATTTGTTGGTAAACAATTGAGATTAGTGATAACTCAAACCAACCCATACAGTCAGATAATTTATTTAAGGATAGGTGACTCACAAACAAGATCTTGATGTAACCTTAAAATGATCACAGCTGATGACGTAGTAATCCACTAAACCATAAAACATGACTTCAAGTAATGTTTGGGACAAAGACAGCCTTTATTGTTACAAGATTACTATAATTAACAAATATTTTCACAAATACATAAGTTTTAAGATATGCATAATTATAAGCTAATAATAAATTAATAATTAAACATATTTTTAAAAAACATAGGCATGCTATGCATGTAGAAGTTACCTCTTCGGATGGGCAGTTTGAAATGGGACACTAATATTTGTAAAAAAAAGAAGATAATATACTTTCAAAAGATTCCAATGAAAATATTTTTAGTGGAGGGCAAAAAAGACCCTACACTTCCTGAAGTCTCCCTCACAGCTGTTGTTTAGTCTAGTCACACAACTCTCTCTCCCCCCATTACAAATGAGACCGGCAACAGTAGCCTGCTTGCAGCCTAAGAATATGTTTACTGTCCTTCCTTTGTCCAAGACAAAATTCACTAACAGCTAGTTACCTCAAAAATATTCTTCCTATTAATTTTGCTGCAGAAAGTAACCAAAACTTTATCCTATTTCAAATAGCCGCCAACCAAAGATATTTTGTGGACAAGTAGAAATAAATTGAATGAAGAGAAAGTATCATATTTCAAAGACTTTCAAGTGGGCATAACATATAAGGTTAATTCACATTAAAAAGTATCATAGAGTCTCCAGAAAAAAACTTGTAGTACCCTTGGTTTTCCACATTTCCATGTTTACCACAAATGACCTCATATTCTGCATAAATCTCTATTGAACCGCAACAGACAACAAATTAACCATTTTTGATACAAGTTAGGGACTTGCATAGGGCTGACAGATTTGATAAGAAATACTCTATAGTAATGATACAATGTTACTCAATATATCCTTGAAGAAGGTAATTTAGTGTTAACAACTGGGTTGAAAACGTAAATTAGCCACTGTAAAGGGTAAAAAAGCTGACATTTCGAGCGTTAGCCCTTCGTCAGAGCGATTGACGAAGGGCTAACGCTCAAAACGTCAGCTTTTTTACCCTTTACAATGACTAATTTACGTTTTCAACCCAGTTGTCAACACTAAATTACCTGCTATACTCTCCCACCGATGCAGCACCACAGTTTCTTTAGAAACTCACCCCGTTATATCCTTGAAGAAGCTTTGTATCAACCAAGCTAAATATTGCACAAATCATTATTGGAAGATTATGAGCATGATAACAAGAACTCTTAAGGCCAAGGTTTCACTTGTCACAGCTGAGATGAGGCAACAACTATAATTTGTAACTTCTGGTGCAAAAAAAGATGTCATTGAAGATGTCTCTCTTGGGTCTCACAATTTCTAGTTATAGGGGATGACTTAAAAGGACTAGTGAAAGTCAAAAGTAAAACAAAATGAGTTAATTCTTAATTGCTGCATTCTCCATGCACTTGTTAATGATCAAATTATAGACCACAAAAGATTTAAATACTGAAGCTACAAGAACAATTCTTCAAGTTTTTTGTGCCTGTATTCATATCATTTTTCTACTAAGTTTAGCTCTGGAAATTTCGCTTACAATCACCTTGATGCTTTGAAATGCATCAATATGCAAGGAGCAATTTCCTCTATGTCACCCCTAATGATTCAAGCAGCAGTGAACTGCCCACTTGGTTGCCTTACATAAACTGAGCAAAATAACTAAATGCTGTTAAGCACTTTTTGGTAATCAAAAGAGCATGATTACTTGAACTTGATTGTTAATAGTTGCTTATTTTTGCAGATAAAATTATCCATTTGCAAAAACTGTTCCTTATGTTAAAGCCAATGAGTGATTTATTGAAGAACCTATAAAAAGCAGTGAGAATGAAACACAAAAAGAAATAGTGACAACTGGATCAACACCTTCTGAAAGAAGGTGCAAAGAAGAGGCAAATAAAGAAACCTACAAGCCACCAATAGTGCCAGAACTAAACATTCATATTTTCCTGGACATAAAGCTAGACAAAGAACTCCAGCACTTCAAAGTGTGACCTCAAATACAACACTTCCCACAGCTTTGGGCAAGGATCAGACAACTAAGTAAACAACTCTTTGGTTAAAAGTGGGGAGAGAATGAAAGACAAGTAGTCCAACATCTTGATCGGGCCTATAGCATTATATATGCAAATCAGAGCCCGCTGTAACTGAAAGATACGTAGAGAGACATGTAGAGAGATATGTAATAGAATCCATTTGTGTACAGACACCGGGCCAACATGGAAGCTAATTGTTTTATATGATAAATAAGTAAAATGCAGTTAATGGTGACGTCATCTATACATCTGTTTTTCCAAAAGATTCCAAGTGAGAACCAATCATACAGCTTAATCATGTAATAAACCTTAATCCATTCAAACGACGTCAGCTGACGTATTTCTTAGCCCTTTTTCAACTGAACTAGGCTCTCAACCCCCCTTTTTCGACACGAATTAGCGATTTGAAATGAGCTTCAAATGTATGTGTAAAGAAATGCTCTTAATAGTCCGATCGCAGAATGGGTTTAATTAAAGAAAAACGAAATACTTCACGCGAGCAACACAAACCTGTATTGCAGAACCTTTAAATGCCCGTTACTTTTAGGAAAGGCCAGAAAGTTACGCTCCAGATATTCGTGAAGTGCAGTCTCATCGAATTTGTGCTCTAAGCGTACCTTTGTCACTTGTTCGGCCATGTTCGCCTCTCGTTTCCAGACTTCCACGGAGAGGAACATTTTCATCATGATAGCTGTCAGTCAGACAGGGACATGTCTCTGATGTCGTGTTGTGGGTCAGGTCCGTGATTTGTGGAAACTTTTATTTTTCGTGTCTCACTTTTGTTAACAAAAGTTTCCTTTAAATAGAGTGAGGAGAACGTAATCTGGTCCTTATTCACTTAATGACCTGCAAAATCGGACGACCGCGTTGATGCGAAAGTCAAATTACGTAAAAAAAGTCCAGCCTGGAATGTACGGTACCGAGTCCCATACCATCAGTTAAAATTTATTATAAATGAAGACATTTGATTTGAATTTTTTCCTCGAGAAAATAATTTTGAGAGAGGTGGGTCACGATTTTTCAGCGGCACCCTCTCCAAGGAGGGGGTGGGGGTTGGGAACAGGGCTTCAAAACCGCCTCAGGTTTTAATTGGGTGTTTGACCAGACTATCTGTTGTTCTTCACTTTGAAACACATAACGTAAAATGGCGTATCTCCAATGGTTTTGCTGACTGCAGGCATCCTTATCCTTGTAAAGAATAAGGATGAAATAGATGTGACTGTTTCACTTACTTAACCCTATAACTCCCATGAGTAACCACGACAGAATTTCTCCTTACAATATCAATACAAACTCAAGAAGACAAGTGATGAGAACCGAGAAAAGTGTCAATTAGGGATTGTAAGTTTATCCAATACAAAATTCTCAGAAGTGACATCAGAAGAGTTGCACTGCAGACAGTAAGGAGAATTACTAATGAGATCTTGGGAGTTAAAGGGCTAAAGGGGAGTATACAAGTTTGTCAAGGTGTTAGAGTGGTAACGGAAAAAATAGGGGTGATAATGATTTCCAATTACCATGATTTACAGGTTATTCTTATCTACATAAGTTGGTCCCCTTCCAAGTGCATACTGTCCAATTATCTAGGAATGAATTATGATGAGTACAGCTTCACAATCTACCAACTCCTTTCTCCAACAAGCATGACTTTACACTGTCCCTTTGATTCTTGCTCACAACCAATCAAATTAGGGAATTCTGTTTTGTTTTGGGTTTCTGTAGATTTCTTCATAATTTCTTTGATTCAACTGAGTTTCATCTCCAATGACACATTACTGGTTTTGGGCATCTCATATCAGAACTAGCACTTCATTGCATGTACAATGAAATTGCAAATGAACAATTGGAGAAAAGGAAAGCAAAAGTAAGAATTTATTCTCTTCCATGGATTAATGGGGAAATAAGAAAACTTATGAATAAACAATATAAACAACTCCGCAAAGCTCAAACTACAAATTCTGCTGTTGACTGGAAGTTGTATAAAGATCTTAGAAACGAAGTACACAGGAAACTAAAGAAAGCTGAATCCATGTATTATCTTGAGACTCTTGAGAACATAAGAAATGGAAGTACAGACTTTTGGAACTTAATTGAGAAAATTAATAAAAATAAAACAATCACTAAAAAAACTGGCCCTATTAAGAATGAAGTAGGAACACTAATATTTGATGACACTGAGGCTAATACATTAAACCAATTCTTTTCCACAATTGGTGAAAACCATGCATCCAACCAAGAAGAAAATGTAAATCCTTTGTCTTATATCTGTAGAGTGACACCTGTAATAGATGTTGATTTTCCAGTAGAAGCCTTTTCAAGAAAGTTAAAATCAGTTAACCCCAAGAAAGCACATGGTGCTGACAGCTGGTCAGCAAAAGAAATAAAAATTGCTGGGATAATCTGGACAGACATAAGAAATGCAGAAAATATGAATTCTTTTAAATTAGCTCTAAAAAAGAAATCAAGATTGATGGAAACTAATAGTTACATAAAGGGACAATGCAATAACTTAAATAGGAGAACTGAAGATTTGATATACTATTGAAAGGGATTACTTTTTTAAATTACTTACTTATTAGTTTCATATTTATATTTGATTATTTATCAATAATTATTTATTAGATGATCTATATTTATACTTTATAAAAACTTTTAAGATTATGCTATTAGGTTCTCTTTTTTTAAATATTTTAGCATGTAGTTGGGTCCACATCAGCAAAAGCTGCCCTTATCATGACTTTATTGAAATAAATTATGCATGCATGTATGTATGTATGTTGCAATCTTTGTTTATAATTAAATCATAGGAGTAGACAAACTGAAACATCCAAGATTACCCTCAAGTCACTTATAATAATTTCAAGGGAGCACACCCCTAGACTATACAATGCATGCAAACCATGCTTGTAGTCCAGGAATTAAGGGATAACTTAAGTATCAGCCTAATACTTTTGCAGGCTAAGTCAAGATTTTATCAGGTACAGACAAAAAATTTAATGCTACGCAGTCCAGACAAAAACAGATAGCACTGAACATCTCCACAAGAGTTAAGATGGCATTTTGTCTTTTCACAAGTGTGGGACAAAGAAAAAATTCTGAGTTAGATTCCTTGTGGGGACTCAGCATTATGTCCTTGTCCCATGTGTAATAAGACGACTCACTTTAAAAAAAAAAGTTCACAGAAAATTACAATAGAGCATGAGGCTGTAACAGCTTGTGGCATACTTACACCATACATTGCAAGGGTTTCTTTCAACTGGGTAAAATGAACCAAGCATTGAAATTGATTCCTAGGAAAGTGTCAGCAGAAGAATATCTCCAGGGCACTTGAATAATGCCTCTGCCATTCTCACATTGTTTTTAACCAAGTTCTCCACAAATATCCAATGTCGTTACCCTAAGTTTCATGAGGTAAATTCTCTTAACAAAATCAATAAAATGTTGGGCACAAAGGAGATGACAATAAAGAAAAATTTTAACTAAGGCAAATTCTTTGATTTGACAACCAATCATAAAAAATAACAAAACAAAATTGGTATTACCATCAAGATATTTTGGAGTGAAAGGGTCAAAATCTAACTCAAGCAAAATTGTATAAAAAAAAAAGGAGAGAAAGAGATAAAGCATGACCCACTGAACCAAGAAAAAACACCTTCAGTACAAACTGACTATAAGAAAAAACCACATTTGTATCAAAATCTCAAAAACTCACATCTCACGGTAAGAATACTTATTTATGCCTCCCAAACATCCCAAAACCTAAGACAATTCACAGTTTTCTCTTAAAATCCTGTTAACCACCACCTTGCATCTAAAGAGAACCTGATTTAAAACAACTACCACAGATTTAATAGTAACATCTTAAATGTTCTCATCCTTAAACCTTTGGTATGTAGCCTTCAAAATGGAAGACATTTTTTCAAAAATGTTGGGGAAAAGTATACCAAATAATTTAACAAAGGAGTTCCTTAGAGGACAGTTGTGGAATTACAGAATCAGACCATGCTTGGGAAACTCAGTCAATTTAATTCAAATACAAACTACTTTTCAAAATTCATGCTTGACAGAAAATGGTTCATTTAAGACAAATAACACAAAAAATTGGTCATCCCTGGAAATGTTTGTACAAGAACTAATACAATTAAGAGGTTGATATGAGCTAAGCCTCAAATACCAGTTTGTCCACATATTTCTGGTTACACCTAGTAATTTAAATGTCTTTCAATAACTGTTTGGTAACTTTAATGGCATACTTCTTGTCAAATACACATAGAGCAAACATTGTCCTCTATACCTTTGTCTTTATCAATAAAATAATGAACATAAAACTTCAAAATCAGTTAACCCACAGAAGTCCTTGGATTTAATGAGTTAAGTAAGTGGCCTTAAATAGAAAACACATCAGCCACGCTCTAAAATGCAGCTATACCCTAATAATGCGATCAAATGTGTTGACAGTGTCCAGCAGTTGCCAGCTGACATAAATCAAACCAACACATTCTTATTCATATCAAACAAACTTAAGCATCCAAAAAGGGTGAAAACCATAGTAAATTGCTTTTGTGTAATCTGGAATAGCATTAAATCTGTTTACTCCTTTTCTAGAAACTTCATCCCAGTTATGACAACTGCAGTTCACATAAACAGCTTCGTGTCTGATCTGAAGAGGATAAGCCGATGAAACGTGAGCTTCAAGAATGTGCAGTAGTTTTCAATTCCGACGGAAACAAAAAATGACACAATCGTTTCGAAGCAACTTCACAGAAAAACGCAAAATTTAGGACGATCATTCTTATCTATAACACGAATTTAAAGGAAGGAGGTGCAAGTCGGCTATTTAAAGAACAATTCCAATATAAGGGCTTAAGTGCGTTACAACTTGTTTAATTCTAAATCGCTAATGACACAAGTCAACAAAACGCAAACCATGCTCGTTTGCTCAAACGAAGCTCAGCCAGGCGCGGTAAAAAGTTAACCATTTCCATGAGCCAGTTGGTGTTGCTCAACAACAACCGGTATAGAGCACCACATAGGCAGTAAACACTAGCAAGCTTACTTTTCGATCACGCGATCTGATATGCAGTATAGCCACGCGCTTTCGGCAAGTTCCATAAAGGAGTTCTTTCTCACGGTGGCGTAAATTGACCTTACGAGCAAGTATATAGATTTTACACGTTTCTTGCTTACAGATATAAGACTTTCACAATAAAAACTTTCCAAGTTACAATCACACGAGCGTATTCGCTCCTCGCCCGAACAGATTGTGCGCTACTGAACGATAAAACCTTCTCCAGGCGTTAATGGTCTTACTCGACCATATCCAAAATCCTGATGTAATTCCAACGATCAAGAACATCAAGTACTTGACCATAAATACGGTGAAATCCGGTTTGTCATTAACAATCGGGTATTTGGGACAATCCATGTCTTTCATGTTATCAATGCACGCTTGTTGATGCTTCCAGCCTTCAAGCCATGATTGCTCCCACTTTTCACGATTTGCCTGCTCATAGAACAAACAACCTATTACTGAAATCGCGGGCAAAGTGTACAGAATGGAAAATACTCCGATACGAATCATTAATTTTTCGATTTTCTCCCTCTTGCTGTAATCGTCTTTTAAAACTGATCTCACTCGA